TGAAGTTTTTTTTGATGCTTATTTTCATGCTTAAATTTTTTTGTTGATGCTTATTGTATGTCTTATTTGTGTGTACTAGTACCAGTACTGCTGCCGATGCGCCGCGTATCCTAAGATTATCTTTTAAAGCTTACCCAAGGGCTCCAAAGGTTGCCGCACAAGCATACTTTCGGAACGTAGGGCCTAAATGATGACAGAGCCCCTGAAAGTCCAATGTCAGCAAACTTCGTGGACATTCGTCCGGAGGACTGTCACATAATCCTCAATAATCTATATGCTAGAACCCTGTGATGCATAAGACATCAATAGGGGTGTTCCAGAATGCTGCAAGGAAGAATGTTGGCTGAAATCCAATCGCAGATATGGTTGTAGGACGGGTGAATGCTCCTAAACTGCGAGTGGAATGAGTTGAAACTTCTCACTTTTTTCTCCTTCTCCACACATCAAGTGCCTTTCAGGCTCAAACGGATCAAATATCGGATCATAAGCCGCTCTTCCATCGCTGTCGACGGCATTTGCACTGCAAGTCGCTTCCATTGAAGCACTGTATCCTCGTCGACAAACGCGTGGAACCCACGTGGGTTCCAGCGATCCACCAAAAGGTTTTCTGCCAGGTGAAGAAATGCCTTGCAAGGCTGATCATGAATTGTCGTTGAACGTCAGATTTCGATCACTCGAGTTTGAATACCCAGCTACACAACAAAACAAACAAACGCTCGAGGCTCGTGATGCTGGGGGAGGATTTTCCAGCGGAGCACACCAGCACCGCTGGCGTGCAGCGCCAGGGCTTGAGCATACTTCAAGTACTCGCACGCATGTCCATGGATCGCTGTAGCTTGTGTCTCTGTGAGATAAAGTCGATGCGCTGCCTCCTGCTCACAAAACCAAAGCAACAGGCTTCTGGTCCCAGCCATGGCCAGCAGCACCTCCCGATCTTGAACGCCAGCAGCCTGATTTTTCTCCAGCTGTTTTTCCATGCAATGATCCATATACGCCAACCAGATCCGGCTGTTCCAAGCCTTCAAAGTGAGAACCGGATGGTCACCAGCATCGGATGCAAAATCGTGCAACATGCCGGGCGTTATCGTTTGAATCGAATGCCTTGGATCTCATCGATGGTGAGCAGCAGCAATAGTTAAAGAACGAATCCTTAAATCTTGTTATGCAGCCCTGTGTGCTCCAGTCTCGGTCTGTGCGAATTCGCCCATTGCTTGAATGCCAGCGTCGCAGCACGTAGCGCTGCCCCGTCGTCAGGAAAGTCACCCCAGAATCCTTGCAATCAAACACTAGAAAGCTACTATAGGGCTTTTTTTGAACAGCATATGAAATTTCAAAAGAAACCTTTTATGTTTCTGTAGCCTATTTAATATTTCCCTATAAACCATAAATTTACAATAATAAACTTTGGTGAGCTGTTGCAATTGCAAGCCCAGAAGCTATACTGCAAGAGTACCATAACACAGCTTCCACAATGGGTCTGCACGAACCCCAAATTGGCAACGTGCATCGTGCAGAATTTTATGTGATCGCATCGAAAGCCTTTCAAGACGACCAATGGGTTCAGAGTTCCCATGGCCTGAGAGAGGCAAGCAGCGTGTGTCCTTCTCGGGAAACGTCGTAGCAGGTCTAAGGACCACCTCAGCCGAATCAGATCGAAGATTAGCAGATCATCACATGACGGAAAGAGTTTGGACTAATTAATATAGCAACCAATATATTGAAAACTGGGCGTGATTATGATCATAGAATGCTAGGTTCGAGTCAGGACCTCGGTGCTGTGCTTTGCACAGGTGACAGGCGAAGCGGGCCTTCCAATGATAGTATGCTTTGAGGTCCCAGCATTCCTTCATCCACTTCCAGTCCCCCCGGTGTTGTACCACAATAGCACTTCGACCTCCGAACGGAAACACCTGGAACCCCGAAAACCAAACAAACCTCAAAATAATACATATCTGTCTAGATACATATAAAAACATATATATGTATATTATATATATATGTATGTATGTATGTATGTAGGCAGATATATTTGTATATGTATTTGGAAGCACCTCGTGCCTCCATGAATCAAAGAGCCGGCTTTGTTCGCCATGCGGCTTGGCAGCTCCTCACCGTCGACACCCGACTGCGGGTGCCTGGCCTCGAACAAAGCCTGGGATTTCAAGGGTGCTAAATCGGTGAAGTTGTTAAATTACTAGAGTATTCTGACTATAAACTACTTCCGGAAACAAGTGATCATGATTCCAGAGGAGCATTCAGACTCCAAGTGATGACCCTGAAAATCGGTCGAAGTGTGCGTCCGGGGATGCAGAGGTATTCCCGGATGCTGAAGAGTGGGTATCGTTTCATTTCTGTTCCTGGGATGGATGGACTTTGACCGGAATGTTCATCAGGATACAAGGATCGGTTATCTAAATTCCAGGGTTTGCAAAAAAACACCCTATCAACCAAACAAGCTGAAACCATCGACCCAGTCTCTCGAACTTTGATGGAGCAAAGGATTCATGGTGTAGAGTATCAGTTTCTGGCCAGAACGATTGAAGCGGGCATCGTCCCCCCAGAGACCTAAAGGATTCGACTGGTTTGTTTGCCCCGGAAGCTCCTCGACCTTTTCGCTCGAGGGGTCTCGAGCAGCGGCGGCTGCCGCATGCTCCCAGTACTCGCGAATCTCGGCATCGGTCACACGGATGCGTCCACTTGCCTTTCAAGGGCTATCAAGCTTCAATATCTTTAGGGTTTAGGGTTTATTATTAGTAATTATTATTATATAGGGCTTAGGATTTAGGGTTTAGGGTTTTTAGGGTGTGGGTATGAAACACACTTTTGAATTTAAGATGATAGCTAGCACAGGTTTGTGCAGAGATTCTGCCAGATACTCATAGAGCTCGTGCGGTAACAGTATGGGGCACTCAAATTCCAGCTCTTTCTTCGGGTCGCTTGGGCACTTGATGGGCACCTTCACATAGAAGAGCTCCTTACCAGCATATTGTGGCCGAAAAATCGATCATAATTAGTTATTAGGGCTTTTCGGAGGTTTTTTTACACATCCTGGGGTTTACCCTTATCAGGTTCCGGGGAAATATAGGTAGGATCTGGGGCTTTATCGCTAAAAACAAAAATTGTCAGGCCCAGTAGCCAAAGGCAGTTCGAGTGCACGGTTCACGTCCCGTTGCACGTTCTGCGGATGCCGCCCTGAAGAGCCCGCCCTAGCAATCTTCCGTGTAAGATAAGATGCGTGTCCAGCGGACTCGGTCACCATGGCAGCAGCAGCTTGTTGCATAGCCGAAGCCGTGGAAGCCTTTGCTTTCTGTGCACATATTAGGTCGCCTTAAACTGGGTTTGCGAGGTCGTATGACTAAAGGGTTGCATTGTGACTAAAGGGTTGATCATGAATGCTGGGTTCTGGCTCTAGCTATAGATCTTTGAAACATAGCTACAGATATAGATTTAATGGTCTTTCGACTTCCATTATTTTTTATATTGATGATCTTCATCACCAGCATTCCTGATCCTCCCGAACCCGAAGCTCGAAATCCCTGCCCTGGCCACACTACAGCCTGAACTGCTTTAAAGCCCTAAGAATCCCAACCTCCAAACCAAACAGGCAACCTTCAAGCCCCTAAACCCCCAATCCCCCCAAACCCCAAAACCCCACAGCCCCAAACAGAGGTAGCACAGCAACAGTAGTAGTAGTAGTAGTAGTAGTAGTAGTAGTAGGTAGTAGTAGTGGGAGTGGGGATAGGAGTAGAGAGGAAGTAGGTCGAATAGGAGAAGCAGAAGCAGCGGCAATACTAGTAAAGTGGTATTATGCTAGTACAGTAATGCGATCAAGAATGGTGCGGTGACAGCTGCTGTGCTTATTTGGCCGGGAACATGGTGTCGACCAAGGGCTGAACTATGGAGGATGGTGATGGATTGAAAACAGATTTGTTGTAATTGAGCAGTATGCTAGTTTTGAATGAATTGTGTTTGAGAGTGTTGGCTCCAGGGCCGGTCGGGTTTTAACTTGGAAACATCCCTGCTATGTCCAATATATCCTCGAATAAACTTCACAAGCCCCAGGGCACTTCAGGGATATTGAAAAATAACACCCATAAGCCTATATTTCAACATTAATAATTTTACTATCAACACCCACCCATATAAACCCTACAATCTCTGCGCAATCCAGTCCCAAGGCCCCTGTGCCCAGCTTGAGCAACAGATGGTCGGCGAAGGCGTGGTCTCCTGCGAAAGGGGATTCGGGCTTATATGGAGATCCGTCCATAATGACAGTTGGCAGTGCACACTCGTTCGAGGGAATTAGGCAACTTTTTTGCACCGGGCGATCGTTCCCCAGGTTGACCCGGCGGATCTCCTCGATTGTCTCGTGATCGTGCCAGAACTCACCGCTAAGCCGTCAGTAGTTGGGCTTCAGAGCTTGGGGAGCTAGGCTAGTAGTCGATAGCTTGGGTTTATATACTAGTGTGAAAGCTGGCTTCGGGCAGTACTGCACAGCTTGGTTCCTTCAAAACTGGATCAAAAGCAGATCCTCAGCGCCTCTTCGGGGCAGCTTTAGCTTTGGTTTTTGCTTTGCCGGTTGCTTTCGGTGCCGGCTTCGTGTGAAACTTAACATGTTTGGATGCCGTTTTGTAAGCCGAGTTCGCGGAAGAGGCCCGAAGAAGATGCTCATCAAGTTCTGGGCCGTCTAGCTCGTTCGAGATGGCGTCCTGCGACAACATACACCGCCCCCCTATAAACCTTAAAGCCCTAAACCCTAAACTCCAAAGAGCCCCTAAACAGGTATTATATAATATTATATATTTATTTAATTTATAATATAAATTAGAAGCCCGAAGTATTCTAGCTTAACCCTGGAATTCCAACCTGCAACGATGCCAAATGCTTTTCGATAATCATCGCATGCGTGTCCATGGAGGATACGAGGGCGTTGGTGAGCTCTTTCGCCCTAAAAGTAGCATGATACGAGACACCTAAAAGACTGGTACCGGCACTGGAAACAGCAAATATATTGCAGGAAAGTGGCACCCCGTTGCGCTCGAGGCTCTTGCGGAAGGACTTAATCTCCAGCAGATTCGCATTGCACTTGACGATGGTCTGGGCTAGAATGGTCTCGAGTTCTGTATCAAAAACCAAAACACACAACTCCGTAGGCACATAAGTACAAGATAAGGTACACTCTTGGCCATTTGCTGAGTGGTTTTCTCTTTAATGGTCTTGGGGTTTTCCTTCTGAGTCTTGTTGCCCCCGGGCACTCCATTACCAGCTGCTGCATCGGCTCCGTCCGGAGCAACTGGACCAACATCACCAACATTCCCCTCTTGCCTGTACTCCAAGCTTTTTCTTTCGTTTCGGAGGCTTGCTTGAAGCACCTGAACATTCTCATCGCCTCCGGCTGCAAGCACAACAGGGAGCTCGGATGCAAGCGGCCAATACTCAAAGTCTCGAGCAAACCCTCAACCCGTAAACCAGCGATTTGCTACGATCTATTATAATTACTCGAGCAAAACCCTCAACCCCTAAACCCACGATTTGCTAAAACTCTAGAACTAAACAACCTACACCCCAAAATCCCTTTGTAGAAGTCTCGAGCAAAACCCTCAACCCCTAAACCCAGATTTGCTAGCTTCGAACTAAACAACCTACACCCCAAAATCCCTTTGTAGAAGTCTCGAGCAAAACCCTCAGCCCCTAAACTGCTAGAACTAAACAACCTACACCCCAAAATCCCTTTGTAGAAGTCTCGAGCAAAACCCTCAACCCCTAAACCCAGGTTTGCTAAAACTCTAGAACTAAACAACCTACACCCCAAAATCCCTTTGTAGAAGCCTCTACTATCATTTTATCCAAAGAAATGGGAAGCCCTATAAGCCTTGCAACAACCCCCAACCTCCTATCAATTAGACACCAGAGTTAGGCCGAGCAGCTTTCAGTTGATTCTTATTCGGGGTATAGGGTGTGGGATTTATGGGTTTAGGGCTAGGGGTTTAGGGCCTAAGGGGTGTAGGGGTTTAGTATGGGGCTTCTTTGGGCAGTCCGCATGTACAAGACAATGCAACAGTTTAAGGAAGATCAGGTTAACATTTAGGTTGATTAGCTAGGGGATAGGAACAGATGTTAGCAGAGATTAGAGTCAGAAGTAAGGTTGTATACACGGTCGGCCTCATTTTTCGGAAAATCTGGGTGATACTTCCACATGGAAGGATCCTTCTCCTGATCAGAGGGGTTTGAATTTGAGGGCGGGGAGCACAGGCTTCAATGCTGATGGTGCAGTCTTACATCATGATCATAGCTCATGAACATTGAAAGCTTGGAGGAGGCTTTCTCGTGCAGTACATATACCGAAAGCACTAGCGGTTTGCATTGCGATTACGATTGGAAGGAGGGGGACACTGCCAGTCCTTGTCCTCGATCAGGGTGGCGACCAGAGTAGCGTCTTTGTACTTTTCCACTAGCTCCTGCAGGGATATCATGGCTTAATTTTTTCATCTAGCTGGTCACAGGACATGTGTATAAGCACAACCGGCCTGTCGAGTGAACCACCCATAAACCGTTTTGGAGTGGGTCTCTTCCATCCACACATACACTGCCGTGATACGGCTTTCCCCCCACTGCTCGCCGGCCATGACGTACTCATCGAAAAGCTTGTTCAGCTTGGCCGTGTCTGGGATGAAGCATTCAAGCTTAAGCTTAACAGTTCCCATTGCAATTTAGGAAGCCAGAGAGCTGTAGGTAGCTAGGTTATCGAAGGTTCAAGAACATTAATTGTGTTTGGATCGTGGCTTTGATGGACAAACTTGGGGTCCGGATTAATGTGTAGATTTGTATGTACATGTGTAGACTAGCTATGGGTTTATTCAGGGCTTAGAGTTTAGGGTTTTAGGGATTTTAAGGCTTTAGGGTTATTAGGGTTTAGGGTTTCCTTTAGGGCTTCCTTTGAGGGTTCCTTTAAGGATCTAGCATCAAACACTCTAACTTCTAACACATATAGCCCTGTGATTTGGAGTTCATGATGCCGGGCCTCGAAGGCTCATACGATCTTGCAAGCGGATCCCTGAGACTTCAAATGTATGTGCACCACTTCTCAAACCTCCCGGAAAGCTCCAAACCCACGGCCCAGCCCGACAACCGATACTGCAGCTATATACCCAAGTGTAAATCCAAGGTTCTCCTCCGGCCATTCGGCATCATCATGCGCTTGAGCTCGACGGCGATCGCCGGAGGACAGTCGGCACCTGGAGAGGTACGTATATGCTGGTAGGTATACGTATCGTATGCATACCCGAGTGTATATGTGTGTATGTATATATATATATGTGTGTGTGTCTATGCATATATATATATATATATGTGCATAGATTTTTCATCCTGTACATGTGTGTGTATGTGACTACAAGTTCATGCAACATATATATATATATGTATATATATATAATAATTATTATTATATATGTAGAACCAGGAATACATGTCGTATTTGTGTTGTATAACACGTCCTGCCTGAAAGGGAACGGTCGAATCGCATCCATGTCGTCCTTCTGGTCTCCGCCTGCACTAATTGGGATCCTAGATGCTTGGATATTCGGGGTGTTCCTATTTGAATCGACTCTCCTTGATTTGCTGCTCCATGTCAGCCAGCTCCTCATCGGAGACCTTCTGCCCCTGCTGCTGCTCCTGCGGCAGCGGCTTCTCATCACCCTCGCATTGCTTGATCTGCTGCGTCGGGGCCGACTCCACTGCCGGTGCTATATTAGCCTGCCCACCGCCAGATCCGGAACTCGCGCTCGTCATCGCACGTAAGGCAGCTGCAGCGACATCGAAATCCACCGTGCCCAGTCGCAGCAGCGTGTTTTGGCCTTCGCTTGGCCCCCCTGAAACCGTCATTGCTTGCAGGGCTTGTGCGAGCTGCATAACGTTGACCAGCTGCTGACCAGCCTGATCACATGGAAACAACCCAAAAATAATTAATAGCAACAGGTATATTCATGATATGATCATGATCAAGGGAGGATGAATATCAGCTCAGCCGCATCTGCACCCTGTGCAGCAGGCTTCTCCTGTGAGTTCTGCGGCACTGCTGCGGTTGCGATCTGCATCTGCTGTGCATCGTCGGGCTTCTCCGGCGGTGTGTTCTGTGGCACTGCTGCGGTTGCGATCTGCATCTGCTGTGCATCGTTGGGCTTCTCCGGCTGTGTGTTCTGTGGCACTGCTGCGGTTGCGATTTGCATCTTTGCATCGTTCTCCGGCTGTGTGTTCTGT